GAGTAGGCAAGGATGAGACAGAGAGCTGACCAAAAACAACTGGTTGATCTGATTGTTGGAAAAACCATTGTCGAGAAGGATGTCCAAGAAATCCTGATGCGTCGAAGAATTATTCCTTTCTTTTCGTCTATGTTCAATGATAGGTTCCCACACAGCACAGAATTTTGCCATCAGAATAGCCGCCTTCCTTCGAATTCCTTGAATATCTAGCTTGCTGAGAAATGGATAGAAATCGGATAAATTAGGAGCCGCAGCCACCTCCATAGCCGCCCTTATAATGCCTTTCATCCCTCCATCCGAGTCCTTTTCCTCCAATTCAATAAAGTCTTTTGACATCATAGAATTCCCCAAAACATTAAAGACAGTTGCAAAAACTAGTTCAGCAATTTTCACCTCCTCACCTTCCTTTGACACCATAAAATTCATTAGGCCAGTTATACATTTCTCTCGCAATACTGCTTGAGACTCTAAAGCTTTGTTAGAGAAAAGTTCCACACGACATAATGTACGTAAAAACTTCCAATTTTCATTGCAATCTTCGGTCCATCCAAGCGATGATTGGTTAAGTTCTTCCTTTGTAGCTGGAAGAGCCTTAGGAATATATCGTCCTGAAAAAATCCGATCCTTTGACTTTAGGATTTCTATAGCAACTTCTGGTGATGATCCAACAATCATCCACTGAGTTCCTAGTTTTAAAGACATTATAGGACCATAGATTTTGGCCAAGTTTGTTAGATTAACATGAGGCATAAGTCCTATGTGTGGAATGTTGCCTAAAATTGGCCATGGATTTGGCCCTGGTGGTAGTTTTGAGCTGTTTTCAGACACAAAACAAGATTTTAAGTTCTTGATTATGATTAAAAAGTATAGGCAAAAAGAGGGCTGGAAGAAGAAAATAAGCCTCTTTTCTTTCAAGAAACTGAGCCATGATACTAGAACTTCGTGGTTGGTGAGGTTATTTTTGCAGGAAATCATATGCATTTTGGGGTTGGGGTGGGAGGTTTTATATATACTTCAATTTCTCAATTCTCATGATGCAACATTATTAAAATTTAAGACTAAGTTGACTTTGTTATCTTATGGTTCGTTCATATTTGCAAGTAATCAACTAAACTTCTGCAGGCTAATTATTTTGGAAAACTTGTTTTACACAAGTTTAGAGGAAAAACCAAATTATGTGACGTATAATTATAATGATAAGTAAGTATCGTACAGGTTACTGCACTGTGATAGTGCTAGTCTAACACAAACTACTTTTTGTCAGTAATTTTTTAAGAATAAAGCAACAGTGCCTTATCAGGTGGCTGGACTCTTGGATCACGTAACAAGCATATAACATCCCAGGATAACCTCATTAAGTGACAAAAATGAATATAATTTTAAATTTTTCAAGAAACAACGACTTTATATGAATTCATGAATTTTTAAATTCTCAATGGACCTGTTTCCAGGTGTTTTTGAGTTTAAGAGTTAGAAAAGGTTTACTGGACATTTGGCACACAGAATACGCTTCAAGAAACATGCCAAGGTATTGAGGAAAAAAGGGTCAGCTAGACCATATAGTTTCAAAGAAAAAGTAAATAAAATTTTGTTAACTCTGAGTTACTACGCTTACAATTAGACTTTATTGGAAAAGGATATCAAGTCGAGTGCACAGCATAATGTACATGAGAGTTCCCAAGACCATGGCAGAGGTAGCCCGTCTCGTATGCTCTTCCTGAGAAATCTTAGATGATTGCTCCTTAGGTATGTAAGACATATAATAGGTGCATAAAGCATACAGTTGTTGTTTGCAAATGCACCAAGTGATTCTTTATTGCAGTAATTCAAACTTACCCATACCCACCAGCACCTACGCGTAATCAAGTGTAAGATTGGACATAATAACACCAAAAAGAATGAAATGCAAAAGGATCAAGATAAGAGTTGAATTCATTGCCCTTAAGATGAAATCGCTCTGCACAGATGCCGACGGTGGATTGGCAAACATCTCTCAAGATACAACGATCAACTTCAAGTGATTACAATACTATAAATCACAAGAAATGGCGAACCAAAAGTGTTTTTGAACTCTCAAGATACAATGATCAACTTCAAGTGATTGTGATGAGGACATCGGACGTTAATTATTTTATTTACGTTTTATTTATCTTTTGGACTATTACTTAAGATTTGGACTTGTATGGGCTCGGGCCCAAGCTTGCTAGGGTTGCTTAACTATTTAAACCTATTTTACATTATAATTTTCAGTTGATGATGAATGAATATTTTTGGTGGCTTATGGCGTTCTCTCCCTTCTTGTTTTCTTTCTTCTCTTCTGTTGAATCTCCTTCCCTTTTTCCTCTCTAATTCTCCCTCCCCGTTGATCTGTTCTATTTCTCAATTAACCGTCTCGTTGGTGCTGCATCAAATTTGGTATCAGAGCCGAATCTTGGGTACTTTCTTTTACAATCTAAAATCTATTCTTTTCTCCCAAATTTTGTTGGAACAGCACAAATTAAAAGGATTTTGGTAAAGGCAGCAATTTTATTCTTCAATTTTCAAAGTTAGTTGAAGAAAAAAAATCGTGTTACTGTTCACGGGTACTGTTCACATCCGGATTCCAAAATTTTAATTTTCTTCTGTAGTATTAAAAAAAAAAAGCTGCCGTTCAATTTGATTGATTTGCTGCTTCCTTTTGCATTAAAGTTGCTGTTTCAAACCCTAACTCATATTTTTTTTTTCAATTCCATATATTCTAGCCCAACATATATTCCAGCCCAACATATATTCCAGCCCAACGTAATTTTTAGTCTAAACTCAGCCCATATTGAACACAGCCCAAACCCACTTAACCCACTAACTCGTAATCCATAGACCCGGTCAAACCCATATCATCCCTAGCCCATTATATACAAACTCAAACCGGCCCACCATTCACCCGAGTCTTCTTCCACGACGTCGACTCCCCTACCGTTCACCGACGCCGGCGACACCACTCTCCAACACTGTCGGTGTCATCGGTTCGTCTCTCACCACCCTCAAATGCCCAGTGCCCGATTTTCACCCTGTTCGTCTTCCAAACCCAAATTGTCATCCACAAAGCAGCCATATTAACCCCTAACCCGAGCCCGATTGTTCCCCATAAATTACAATACTAGTGTTGTTGTTATTTGCTACTTTTAGCCTTATACCCTACTAGATCGAATTTCGTGAGTTAACTTCCATTATTCCCCGTTACCCCACGTGACTAGGCCTATCTTTGGACCAATCGCTTTTTATTTTATTCGCATTAGTATTATTGACTTGCTACGAATGGACCTTGCGTAATTCAAATTTTTCGTAAACACAAACAAAAAAAATAAATAAAACTAAACAAAATACACAAATTAATAATACTAATAATGAAATTTCAGATTGCGAATCTACTTTTGGCACTCGTTGTTTATTGATCTCTATAGCGCACCTCACGTAGCTAGTGTTACTGTGTATGCAATTGCGTAGTGGTCGTGTTACTGCGTCTAGTGCTAGTACCCTTGCCATGGACCCTTCACATATTGAAGCTATCACCCGACAGTTGGCACAATTACAAAATCAATTAACGGCTATCCAAACTAAGTTAGCCGCTACTCATGAGGAGAATAGAGCCCTAACCGCTAAGGTGAACACTCTTGACCCAACCCAATACTCAACTGAAGCTGAAAACTCTGACGCTTCCATTAATAGACCTCATTGTCGTCCACAAGGTGGTCGACACCATGCTAGACATAATCGTAGGGAGGGAAATCAAGCTCGTAAACGCGAGCGGGAATATCACCGTCATGGTACACCATCTCCCCCTCGCCACGAGGAGTGCCTCTTTCGAAATATTAAGTTAGATGTCCCTATATTTGATGGTTGTCTAGATCCTAGTGTATTCAATCAATGGGTTAGAGATATGGATCGCTTCTTTGCCTAGTATGGGGTCCCTGAAGATCAGAGGGTACAATTTACCAGTTTGAAAATAACTGGCACAGCTCAACTGTTTTGGGAAAGTGTTGAGGACCTTCTAGAGAGGCGCCATGCTCCCCCTGTTGGGAGCTGGGATGAAATGGAGCGCCGCCTTCAACAAAAATATTTACCTCAATCTTACAGAGGCAACTTGCTGGATCAATGGAACGCAATTATGCAAGGCAGTTGACCTGTGACCGAATATGTTGCTCAGTTTGACGAGTTTCGAATGAGATGTCAGGTCGTTGAGGATAAAGTCATGACCTTGAGTAGGTTTAGGTAAGGCGTATGGGATGATCTTAGACGTGAGCTTGTTCTTAGAGGTGTCACCATTCTTGACCACACCTACTCTTTCATTCGGGATTACGAGTTAGTGACTAGGACACCATACAGAAATTGTAATGACTCCTGCACTGCAACCTCTTCTGCATCTACTCCATCCCCTAAGTCTATTATAGGACCTCCTCCTTCTAATACTATCCCTACATCGGATAGTAAAAGTAGAGGTTCTGAGGTTTTAAGAACACCCTCTCGTTTGCAATGCTTCAACTGTAAGGGTTTTGGTCACATTGCCTCTAAGTGTCCTAGCCGAGCCCTAATTTTGGAAGAGCGTGAAGGTATAGTTGACGAGCCACTAGAGGATCAGGTTTATGAGCCTAAGTTAGAAGAGTTTGATGACTTGGAGGATAGTGAATATACCTTCTTGGGTTGTATTCAGGCTAGTCCCCTTATCCCACATACGCCTAGAGTCGGTGTCGTCCGTTGTACTCTTACCTAGCTTAGGGATGCCGATGATTGGCGTCGTCATGCCATCTTCCACACTTACATCAAGATTAATAATAAGGGCTGTAAAATTATCGTGGATAGTGGCAACTGCATTAATGCGGTTTCGATGGCTACCGTTTCCCGTCTAGGATTGAAGTCTGTTCCACACCCTCAGCCATACAGCGTCTCTTGGGTTGATACCTCTTCTATAGCTGTCAAAGAGTGTTGTTTAGTCCCTATCCAGTTTCTCGAGTATAAGGACCATATATGGTGTGACGTCATTTCAATGGATGTCGGGCACATCATCTTAGGATGACATTGGTTATTTGACCTAGATGTAACCATCTATGGTCGATCCAATTCCTGCTTCTTCATGTTTAATGGAAAGAAGATTCACCTTAACCCACTACCCCCAAAGCCTGTTGGCCCACTAGAAACGAAGAAGAGTGTGGAACGAAAGGGATTGCACATCATTAGTCCTACGGAGTTTGAGCGTACACTTGCTGGTGAATCAGTTGTGTTCGCTTTGGTGGTCGTGGAGGTTTCATCCCACTCCACAATAGAGAGCCCTGTTGAAGTCTAGTCGATCCTCCAAGAGTTTCGAGATGTCTTTCCGGAGGACCTACCTGATCATCTACCTCTTCTACGGGATATTCAACATGCCATAGATTTCGTCCCAGGGGCATCCCTTCCAAATTTGCCTCATTATAGGATGAATCCTACCCAGCACACTGAATTTCAAAGGCAAGTGGATGACCTCCTTCACAAAAGATTCATTTGTGAGAGTTTAAGCCCGTGTGTTGTCCCCCCCCTATTGACGCCCAAAAAGGATGATTCTTGGAGGATGTGTGTGGATAGTCACGCGATCAATAGGATCACGGTGAAGTATCGTTTTCCCATTCCTAGACTTGATGATATGTTAGATATGATGGTTGGTGCCACAATCTTTTCGAAGATTGATCTGAAGAGTGGATACCATCAGATTCGAATTCGCCCAAGTGATGAGTGGAAGACCGCGTTTAAGACGAAAGATGGTCTTTATGAATGGCTGGTCATGCCTTTTGAGCTAAGTAATGCGCCAAGTACCTTTATATGAATAATGACATAAACTCTCTGACCTTTCATGGGAAAATTTCTTGTTGTCTACTTTGATGATAACCTCATCTATAGTAAGACTAAGGAGCAACACCTTGACCATCTCACACAAGTTTGCTCTACCCTTCGT